TATTACAGTCACCGGTGAACTAAAGGAAAGTTATGGTGAAGCCGGCATTGGTTTCCGGCTTACTTCTTGTCAAGGAGCCACCTCCTCACAAGAGGAAGATGACCAGAGAGGTAAGGAGTCATCGAATCGGCGGTTATCTCTTAGTGTTACAGAACCTACTGCAATCCTTCTCTTTAGCAACACGATGTCTTTTAAATTCTTTCACATACTTTTCTTTTTTTTTAATTGCTATTATTATTGTATTTTAGATATATTAATTTGACTTGATTTCGATTATCTACTAAATTAATGTGAAAGAAATCTTACACTATACGAAGATAAGTGAAATATTAGTTATTTAATAAATGAAAAATAAAATATATTTTAACCCTTAGGGACTAGAGTTCAGACCACTGGCTGATCTATCTACTTGCGGCATTCGGGCTTCAGCCTCTCCTTCCCGCCACCAAAAATAAAATATATATATTTTTTCATAGGTTCATATTTGTTTTTGTTTGATCTGAGCTTATTACTATTTTTAAATTATAATGCATATACAAATATTAAATACAACAAACACGTGTCAAGAAAAATATAAATATTTATCTAAATTAAAACCAATCATTTATCAAAATAAAAACATTATTGTTCCTGTAATTTATACAGACCTTCAAGGACCAATTAGGTATAATTTCATATAATTTATTTCTCATTCTACTAGAATTATTGCCGCTATATTTTTTTTTTTTTTAATAGACCCTCTCCCCCCAAAAAAATTAAATCTTTAATTTGCTACTAATTCGGACCATTTTATATTTTTCATACATACACTCCTATGCCGAAATATATGGTGAATTTTATGCAGTTAGTTATGGTAGTAAATTGTTTAGAAATCTTTCATTAAATAGACAAAGTTTCAGTCTGAACAATTATCCTCAAGCGTATCCTTTAATGGTCTTAAGTTATGTCACTTTTTCAAAGATTTGCTTATTCGGCTTATCCTTTCTAGGATAGTGCTACCTCTTTATGTGATTGTAAAATTTCAACCCTCTTTTCCTCATCGAGGTCTTCGTACTGCTCCTTGCAGGGGTACCCATCCTCCCCAAGGTCGATGGCACAAGAATCCGTCCCACCCACTCCCAAGATATTTTATTGCTCACCTTTTCCTAAAAACAGAGCACGTTAAAGTAGATTTTAAAAAATCGTAAATCATATACAATTACACTTTCTGTTCCATGTTTTCTCCTTGTCCGTTAGCATGAAACCTTTCTTTTCGAAAATTCATAACCCCGCCGAAATGTGCCTGTCTCCCTCAAAAATTCAAAATACGTCAAAAAATAGAGAAAAAAAAAATACCTTGGACACCCTTTTACCCTGGCTCTTTGTTCTTCTTATACTCTCCCCCATGGATGTCTCTCTCTCTCTCTCTCTCTCTATTCAGCGGTCTCTTTTTGCTGGTAAAACCCACTGTTTTCACTCCATACCATCTTTATCGATTACAAATGTTTATTATTCAATACAATACAATAAAATAGAATAAATCATAAGAGCTCGTAGTCCTTATTGCTCAATTTACCAAATCAATATTAATCAAAACGTGATCATGTTTCAGTTGACTAACTCCAATTTCGACATTCTTTATTATTAATTTTAGTAATTTTTCTGGCGGGAAAATTGATAAATGTATTCACAGTTTTGTATTTCAACACTGAAATCAATTTACTCACTGTACAGATATAAATTTTCCAGAATACTAGAAATATCATTAAAATGACATTACTCAATAAGCTTGAAATAGGAGTTAGTCATTCTTTCAACTCAAAGGCTCAATTAATAATGTAGAGAATCCCTCATGATATGATGGATGACGAAACTAATTATTATTACGGTCAATATTATCATCCTTCTATAACAAAAAAAAAAAAACTTAAAAATTGACAATGTCCTCCTTTCCTTTTATCAATTTTTAGAATTCCGTCTGGAAAAACTAAGAAATATACAGACGTCGTTTTTTAATTGAAAAATCATGACAGAAAACACAAAAATACAATTTTTTCTTCAAATAAGATTTTTTTTTTTTAATTTCTTTCTTTTACATTGGGCTTTATTAAGGCAACAAACTTGATGGTCAAGTGACCGATAGGAGCTTATGTAAAGGCTTAAACAAGTAATACTTTGTTTAAACATACGAAGTATACCAGATTGCTTGGTAAACGATATAGGATGTGGTGACAGTAATGCTAAAACCGGACTTTAATTTGAATTAGGTACTACATTTAATGCAAAAAAAATTGATACAATAAAAAGTTAGATCATCTTGTCTATCCAATTTTCGTCACTAACATTTCTTCTATTTGGGCAAAGTCTTTTCCAAATAATATTACAACGTGTATATGGAAGATGTGGTACGATGAGAAAAATACAAAGATTCAATGAATCAATATTGATTCCACTAAAATATCTTATTTAATATTTATAATTAAGCCGATTAAAGTATATAGCAGTTCCATGTCCCCCTCACGATGGCACCTGATGGAGTCCTCAAAGCAACTACGATAGCCTATTTATTTTCTTAACATAACTTTAATTAATTAAAAGAAAAATAAATAATAATAATATAAAAGATGCTAAAATATTATTGTGATACCTCATCACTTGGAGTTGGTATATTCGCATTTGTGGAGAACTCGAGAGGATGCAATTAGAGTAATAATAGACTTAGGGAGTATTTTTTATGGAATTGTCTCCAAATAGAAATTAAGTAGTTTAGACAATTTGGGATCTAGATAGATTGTCCATTCTTTGAACTGAGCCTTCCATTCGGCTTATTTGTTTTATATTAATAGATAAAAAATATCACGTTTAATATTTGAGAATGGAGAAGCTCCGCGTGGGCGGCCCCAATATGCAAAGGATGGTGGGAAGCATAAATAAATGAGGGTCGTTATGAGAGTAGGAAGCGGCCGTGGAAGTATGTCCGAGCACGTGAGCTCCTCACGTGGACGGGGCGCTCGCTCGGCAAGGACATCCGCCAGATCTTATTTACCTCCGGCCGTGGCGTGGGGTAGGTATCAACGGCCTCTGGTATCAGTATTGCAATTATCATCCTTGCTTCAAGTCCTCAGCTAAACTAGCTCAGGTCGTTATAGTCGAAAACACTATAGTCCAAAACAGCTTCAGGAAAGCATCGATTGTTTAGTCAGCATCGCCAGGCCTACTCCGGATACTGCAATAGTCCGGTCAATCGACGTATTAATACTTAGAATAAAATTGCTACTAAAAATAAATAATAACACCGGTTATAAATAGCATATCATTGTAATGAAGCATTATTTAAAAAAAACTTAGTGGTTCATTCAACGTTCAAACTCTTGGAATAAATTTCAAATAAATGGAACTTATAAATTTATGTGGCTATCATATGATTGCCACATAGACTATTTTACGAAACGTAATTATTTGGAGAAACATGCATAAATGCGCGCGGAGACTAAATGTTTTCTTCATGGAAACTAAATTAAATTCTCAATCTAAATATAAACATAAAAAAAAATTGTTATTTTTGATTAACCAAAAGTATATAATGCACCAAATCGTCGATCTGGAATTATGCATGAAGTATTTTATCATACTTCTGTTAGACAATGCAGTAGTGCTTGCTGATGAAAATGTTTCAAGCCATGTTAACCAGTTAAATAATATGTGTCAATAACCTATAATTGCTTTTCTAGTTTTTTAGTTTTCTAACTTTTGATACGATAATATATTTCAAAAATTAAATTAATTTAGCTCTATTTAATTATTTACGTAGAACATTATTATTACTAGAGGAGAAACTAGTGGACCTTGTGATCTTTTTGTTCACTGCTATCTAGAGTTTCTATCGCATGCTAACCAAAATGGGAGTGTCAAGATTCATTTCCTAATACCATTGGGAAGTAAGTATTTACTGACCCAGGTAAGGAATCGAACCTATAAAAGTTTCAAACCGGGTACTTTGGTACCCTTGCCTTAATTCTTTCGGCCATCAAGTTATCTAAGTAGGATTGGTGGTAAGTTTAAGTTATTTTATTATTAAAAAATTCACCATCAATTATTTAAATTTGGATTTTGTCACTTCATTTTCACTTAATATTAATATTTGAGTAAATATGATAGGGCAATGAAGTGAACATAAGATAAAGGATAGAAAATGAAGTCATTATATTTATTTTTGTGTTCTTTTATGACTGCAGTCTCCAACCAATTTCCCCTCTACTATTATACAGTTAGTATTTTTTGAATTTGAAAAATCTTACTTTTGCGTTGTTTTTTTTTTTCTCTCTTTGCCTTCCCCCACTGGGCAGATTTGCTAGTTCTTCTCCTATTATGATTGAACCCTTGATCTTGTTTGTTGGATCTGGACTCCGTAATGCTGATATATTAATGTATTCTCATCATCATTGTTCGATGAAGAATGAACAATTTTAAATCATTTCACAAGTTGGTACATGCTGACATAAAACGTGGTTAGAATCAAAATGTTATCCTGTATGACAGCATCAGATCCAGATTTCCCCAAGGGAGGCTAGCATCAGAGTTTTGTGTACGAAGGAGTCCACCACAAGAAAATTTTTAAAGTTCGCTGATCAAAACCAAAAATAAAGTATGTTAAATCGTTCCAAGCAGTGAGCTTATTATTATTGTTATTCTTTTCTACTCGATATTTAAAAAAAAGATGAAATTAATGATAATGACAAAAGATATGTATTTGCTGTATGTATTTGTAATCAGTATTTGCTGTCAAAAAGGTTTAGTTATCCTATAAATTACTATCACTGTGTTTTAAGGATTATTAGTTAAGGACCTGTGAGTGTTGTTAGCATACTGTTCTTGTGCTCAATGCCTTGTTCTACAGGTTTCAACCTACAGAAAAACATTTTTCAAAGGATTAAAACTAGACTCGTAACTGTTTTTATTCTCATTGATTCAATTAGTTATTATGTTACTAACTGTTTTTTTTTTTTTGTTTTTTTCCATAGGACCCTTTGTCACACCGCATTATTGAGAAAAGAAGAAGGGACAGGATGAACAACTGCCTGGCTGACCTCTCCCGACTGATCCCTCAGGATTATATGAAGAAAGGCAGGGGAAGGGTGGAGAAAACAGAAATCATAGAAATGGCCATTCGTCATATGAAACATCTCATGTCCCACCCATGTGCAGGTAATAATTTTTGAAATGTATTCTAATATAAAAATATCAATTTTAACAAAGTAAACATCTAACTACTTCTTTAATTCAACTTTCGATTTTTTTATCTTTATAGAATAGATTATAACTTTATTTTATTTCTTTTTTTTTTTAACTATTTATTTATTGAATATTACAACATTCTGTCACTTAGACATTAGTTATAGTGACATATGATCACATTCACCCTATGTGTACAAAAAAATATAAAATAAATGGAAGCAAAATAACAAATAAATACTAATCAAAAAGTACATACAATAGATCAAATAAAATAACTTAAAAATAAGGAAAATAAAAAAAAAAAGCAAGATCCGCATACATTTCTATATACACTATTTACAATCAGGCGAGGGATCTCCGAGGCAACTCCGTATAAAACCTTTTGTAATTTTATTCTTAGGTAGTACATTTTCCAAACAATAACTCAATCTTAATGATGTAAGATGTCTGATTAACTAAGGTTGCTATATTAAGTACATTAATATCTTATATAATAAAAGAGTCGTTTATTTCCATAGTGAATCCTAATGATCATTAACAATTTTTCAGGAAACAGGAAAAACTATGTTTTCTATTCCAATTGTCATATCAAAATTTTTATTTGTAAAACATATTTCTGAAAATCACTGATTATTCCAGTAGTAATTAAAAAACATTTAAAATTGAATAGGGTCTTCCTTTGCCTTCTGTTCAATATCTGATTTTCCTATAATATTCTATATTACTGAGGAAATAATCAGATTATTAAATTTACTTTAATATTCAGATTTGGTACTCCAAAACCCCTTGATTTGAAAATCTGCAACAAAAACAAAAGTTTCAATTTTTTTGCCTTGTCAGATAAAAGAGAGTTAATTTGTTTGCATGTTTTCCTAGCTCAAGATGAAAGCTTAATCACTCGAGCATACTTAAACCAAATTAAAATGTTTTGGTGCTGTTGAAAGGTGAATTATTTCTCTTTCTGATAATGACAATATGAAAACAAATATGAACTTGTTCATTTTTTTTAAAACATCAACTACTTTATACTTAAAGGCTTTAGTTTTTTTGAAATTATCCTATATGGCCTGTGCTCATTGAAATCTCCGGAGCACATTTGTTCTATTGGTGTATAAAAAATCAATACTTGAGGACAATAGCAATATATATTTTGTTTATATTTTAAAAATTTGTTATATATTTATATTCAATTCTCAGAGGGAACATGCTGCAAGAGTGAGGATGCTGGCGCAGAATCAGAAAACCTTACTAGAAGTTATAGACTTGGATATCACGACTGCTTATCAGAAACACTTCATTTTCTTGTCGATTCTGAGGGTTTTCTTCCAAGTGGATCACTTTGTAATCAATTAGCAACACATCTTAGCCAACATTGTGACAATCTTCTTAATAGTAAGTTAGCAACATTTTTTGTTAACGTGTGCATTTCTATCACTCCTTCTATGTCTATTAATGGATAGAGGCGAAAATCATTGTGTAGCTGTCAATATCCTTCTCATGAAATACCATTATTTAAAGATAATAATTATATTCTATAAAGTTATGTTTCATCCATCAACAACTATTATTTAAAAATATACAATCTGACAGTTATGAGCTTTAAACAATAGTGCTGGCAATTTTATATCCATTTTGTATCTAATAGATAAAAATAATAGGCAGCTTTAATAAAAATATTCTTAATCACAATCATTTACTACAATTTTATGTTATAAGATTTTAAATTTTACTTGTTATGTCTTATATTATATAGCTGAAAAGGTTGTTTGAAATTTTCTTGTTTTTTTTTATTATTATCATATTGACGGAGAATACATAAAACCCTTTCTCATCTCAACATCTGGTTATTTTGAGAGATATCCCTATACCCAGCTATATATAGGGGTGCCCAGAAAGGGGTTTCATGGCGCAACTTGCTTTTGATGAACTTGGGTTTCATCTTTTGAACTTTATTGAACCTCATTTTTAAGGTTTATTTCTGTTGCTTTGAGCTATTATATAACTGATATATTGGTTATTGTAGATCGAAAGACCATGGTATGTGTATGTATCTATTCTAGCATTTCTGGTTTGAAACCCATTAGCATAGGGTGATAAAGTTACCTGTGACAGAGTCCCTCATCCCACAGAAAGACAACTTGAATCTGGAGTATACATAGTTTGAATGTTTATTCTCCAATGCCTTGGAGTCTGTTCCACCTTGGATTGCAAGTTGTTAATTAACTTCCAAGTCTATGCCTGCCATCTTTAGTTATAGCTGGCTGCAGCGCTTCACGATCCTGGTTACATCTTTCTCTAGAGCTATGCTAAATTCTTATTTTAAGATTTTTTTTTTTTTATTTCTTAAAGACATTTACAACTGTATTAAATAAATACATCTAATAAATTAGAACATAATGTTTATAATGACATGAAAAACACTTGCTGAGTAATTACCCAATGGTAGCACTCTAATGATATGTTTACATTAGAAGATCACGAGGATTTTAAGATTAATAATTAAAATGTTTTACTTCTGTTCTCTATTGTTGGCTGTAAATAAATGACCTGTTTTAAAATATTGTGTTTTTTATTAGAACCTAAGTTACTACAAAGTCATTTATTGGCTATATTGGAGAATAAATTTCACGAATCTTGTTTCTAATCTTTACAATGGTAATGGAAAGCGGAAGGCTCGCTATGTGGATCTGTTATTGTTTAATGATTAATGATTTCTAGTCTTGAAAAATCTGTCCCTTACAATAGAGTGGCTGGTAATTTCTTAAATTATGGCTATTAATGTTAGAACAACCAAGATGAAAAGAATAAAAGTATGTTTTTAATTTTATTCGGGAATACTTTCTCTTTCTATTCTCCTAATTGTACCTTAATTCGTTATCTTATTTTCTTTTTTATATTATAAACTGAATTATAAAAATGATGACCATGATGTTTTTTTAATTAAATTGTAATTTTTTTTTATGTTAAGATGATGGCTTACGAAACGAACTGTGCCGATTAAAGGATGAAAATCATATTGGTGGATATCTGGTCGGTGGATCAGGCCCTGGTGGAGGTCAAGAATCAGGTTCAGATTCAAGCTGCCTTACTCAACTTTCTTCAGTCAACAATGTAAGTTTTACTTAATATTTTATTAATCAATTTTAACTTGTCATATCTTCTTGTTCTTAGCCCTTCTAATGAATCTTGCCACCAAAACAGATCCTTAAATTATTATTTTATATTTTATTTATTTATTCTTTAGAAGTTAATTAATTAATTGAATGTATATTTTATAGGTTTCCCCTACTAGTTCCAATTCTGATAAGTGTAGTAGTGTTGAGTCAAAATGTAGTATAGAATCTGGGTATAAATTCAAAAATACCATTCAGAGGAGGTTCGAGAACTCAATACCAGCTCCAACACCGCATACATCTCTGGTACCTGGATTTGCACTTTCACCAAGGTGAGGGATCATTAATTTGATTCAGTTATAACAAAAAATAATTTTAAATTGTTTCTCATATTGGTTATTTTTAATAGTTACATTATTCTCTTGATTTTCTATATAATATTCCTTTGAATTTATTATTCTAAGAACAAATTTGAATTTTCACATCTTTAAAATAAACGGAAATAAAATTATATGTTTAGGGGGCATTATTATCTTCCGATTTGTTTGGAGCCTGCACTTGTTCCCAGAGAAGACCTTCAAGGTGATGGAGAGGTTATATTACATCCAGTTACGATATCTGTCAATTTTAGGCCTCCTCCACCACCTCCAAAGTGAAGTGAGTGTTTCATAAATATATTTCTTGACTTATAATTTATTTATTATATTTCTTAGGATATAAGTGGAAGATGATAAACACAAAGCTTTGAATCTCTAAAATGAAGGTTAACAAATAATCTGTCTAATTTAATTTAATTTATTAATGTTGTTCTTAAGTTCTTAAGAAAATTAAAATTATTGACGCATGGACGGGATTAGGTTGATTATACAACGCTATAGTTACTGTTTTTAATAATCCTTATTCTGAAACATTTCCACTTGGTGAAGAAGGTGTTATCTTGTTAAATGCTCATATTGTTGTTGAATTAGTTAATCTTAGTTCTCAACTTTAATCAAGTTGATACAGTTTATTTATTAGCATTTCCTTCTTCAAATATGATTTTCTTGACCAACTATTCTAGATGATGAATGATATGCCAAATTTAGTTTGCTCTCTTAATTTAATAGGCTGTCCTTATCATTGGTAAAAAATATTATTAATTGTTAATGTTGCTGAATTATTCTTAGATACAAAACGTCTGAATTGAAATATTATTGTTTACACTCATGCCTATTTTCTCTCTTGGTACTCTTTTATAAGTTGTCAACTTAAGATTATGAATTCCATTTATTTTTCGTTGGTACTAAATGGGTTTCCAAATAGAACAACGAAGAATTCAAGTTATTTAAAATTGGTAATGATCTCTGAAAGAGTCAACTTTAACACAAAAATTTGTCCAGTTGTTTAAATAGAAATTAAATTGACTTACGATGAGGTAGTAGGCTACAGAATTTTTAAAGTTTACGGGAGATATTCTCTTACTGGTCTGGTATCTAGAGTAAATAATATTACTATTATTTAAAGAGAAAAAGTTGATATTCGTTTTTCACACCTCAAAAATTTCTTAAATATGTACCCTTCGATATTTTGTTAACAACTACAAAAATAGTGATAGCTTTAGAAATTTTTGATTTATATAAAAATTCGTATTTAGGAGTTTCAAAGAACATTTTAAACGAATCTAAGATGCATTTTCATAAAAATTGATTTGGCCTATTTTATTGGGAGTGCCTTTTGGTTTTTTTAGCTACTACCTCTACTACTATTACTACTACCTCTACTACTATTACTACTACTACCTCTACTACTATTACTACTACCTCTACTACTATTACTACTACCTCTACTACTATTACTACTACCTCTACTGCTATTACTACTACTACTATTACTACTATTACTACTACTACCTCTACTACTATTACTACTACTACCTCTACTACTATTACTACTACTACTACCTCTACTACTATTACTACTACTACTACCTCTACTACTATTACTACTACTACCTCTACTACTATTACTACTACTACCTCTACTACTATTACTACTACTACCTCTACTACCTCTACTACTATTACTACTACTACCTCTACTACTATTACTACTACTACCTCTACTACTATTACTACTACCTCTACTACTATTACTACTACTACCTCTACTACTATTACTACTACTACTACCTCTACTACTATTACTACTACTACCTCTACTACTATTACTACTACTACCTCTACTACTATTACTACTACTACTACCTCTACTACTATTACTACTACTACCTCTACTACTATTACTACTACTACCTCTACTACTATTACTACTACTACCTCTACTACTATTACTACTACTACCTCTACTACTATTACTACTACCTCTACTACTATTACTACTACTACCTCTACTACTATTACTACTACTACCTCTACTACTATTACTATTAATACTACTAACTAGCTTAATTTTCATTAAATAAATTATCAATTATTTCGTTTTTTCTGACTCTCAAAACATCTTCTTAAATATTATTCCATTTTAATTCAATTTAATTTAAGTTATTGATACAATAGTAAAGTTATTTAAATCATTTTATCTGTTGAAAATTATTGACATTTTCATTTTATTTGTTTCAGGATGTTAAATTAAAAAAAAAAAAAACTTGAATTAAGAATGCCTAATGATAGGTGTCAAAAATGCTGTCTTCTAAGTGAGAAGAGCCTGATGAGTTTTATCATCCGAGTTAAACGAATGCTTACAAATCTACTTGTTTGTGTAAAGGAAGACTGAGATGAATTCATTTATTTTTTAATTTTTTTGTACAGATTAAATTTTATAAAAGTATTTTTCTCAAAGTTAAAAAAAGAAAAATTGTATTGTTAAATCTTGTTACATATGTTTTAAATGATTTATATACTGAATGTTGATTGTAGATTCAAAATTATTGTTAATGTTTAAAATGAAAAAAATGTATATGATAAAAATTTATTATATTTGTCTGGGAGGTAACATGCAAAATATTGACTTACTAGAAATAATTCAATGCTACGTCTTCTGTTATTATCAATAATTATTAAATATTACAAAACTGCTTATAACTTCAGATTTATACCAGTGAAAAGATTTTTATTAAGGTTCATATTTGAGTCTTTCCAAGATCTCCAAAAAGTTTTAGCTTGATATTAATAAGTCAACTTTTTATTCACAAACTCCTGGAATGTATACTAAATGTTGATTTAAATCCAAAATTATTTTTAATGTTAATTACGAAAAAATAAAGAAATTTATAAAAAAAAAAGTTTTTTTGTTTTTTTTTTAAATGAATCGTAAGTGTTTCATTTCACACTGAACTCTTTTAAGTAAACTTTCTTATTGATTTACGCGTTAAAGTCTTTAAACTGGTAGAAACATTCAGGAGTTAGGAAAAGAAAACTTCAATAAATAATAAATATATTTGTCGCATATTGTTACAAGTTAATGTTTCGGGGAAATTTTCCTCACATCAGAACTGCTTGTATTTTTTTGCTACAATTTACTATTCTGTTTCTCCCCGTGTCAGTAACACATTTTTGACTTTTCTTTGCCAAACTCATGAATAGTTACCCAGAACTTCCCAACTAAATAAGAAAATGGAGGAAAAAACAGGACTTTTAACAATTCAAAATTACATAAGTATTGAAGAGAAGATTGGTTGGGGTGATAAGTCAAAAGAAAAAATGTAAAAATAAATAAGTATAAGTATAAACGTCGGCACTAATAAAAAACTTTTATAATGACTGCGTCATGAATATTTAATGATTAATAATAATAATAAAAGGCTTAGCGAACCCGAAGGTTCGATGCGGCCACCACCAATCGCTTATTACACACCTCCCTCCACCGTTCGCCGTCCAAACCCAGATCGGCTTTAACACAATCTTCCCACCTTCGCTTCGGTCTACCCCTCGGACGCTTACCATTTGGCACCGCACATATTAACCTTTTAGGAATTCTCTCGTTACTAAGCCCAACAACTTTACAAGCCCATTTGATTTGCCGCGATGAAATTACCTCAATTATATTACCTGGATACAGCTCACACAATTCGGCGTTGTGTAACCGTCTGAACTCTCCGGTTAACTCATCCTTCTTCGGTCCGAATATTCTGCGCAATACTTTATTTTCAAAAACCTTAAGACGCTGCTCATCCCTTAATGTAAGCGGCCAAGTTTCGCATCCATAAAGAACTGGAGGCAAGATAATTGTTTTATAGATTCTAATTTTTAAGTTCTGGGACAAGAGGCGCGAACTAAGTAGTTTTGTCACAGAAAAATAACAAGCATTTCTCCAGCCTTCAGTCTAACCTTAATCTCTTCGTCAATTTAGTTTTTTCTAGTTATCGTAGAACCTAGATACCTAAATTTCTCTGCCTGTTCAAACATATTACCATCTATATCGATATCACCAGTAGTATTGCCATTTTTGCAGCTAACAATATATTTTGTTTTATCCACGTTTATTTCGACTCCTAGTTCTTTACCGGCTTTCATCAACGTTGTCGTATTTAGTTTTATAGTTTCAACGTCTTCGCTTAACAGTACCAGATCATCAGCATAGCCCAGCACGGATGTTGTCCTGCCCAGATCCAACCCTTTCTCGGTACGCATTACCTCCCTAATGGCATGTTCTAATGCCAAATTGAACAGGACAGGCGAAAGAGAATCCTCCTGTTTTAAACCCGAACGAACCTCAAATTTTTCGGACAAATTATTACCTATTCTAACTTTATTGAGTGTCTCCGTCAAGCATATCCTGACTAGATTTACTAGTTTTTTTGGAATCCCCTGCTCGATTAGAATATTATACAGTTTCTGGCGGTCAATAGAATCGTAAGCCTTTTTAAAATCTATATACAGCTGGTGAACAATACCGTTATACTCCAATTTTTTCTCTAATATTTGCTGTAAAGAATATATTTGATCAATAGTCGAACGATTCCGTCTAAATCCTCATTGGTAGTCTCCGATAATTTCCTCGGTGTATTCCGTGATTCGACTGGTTAAGATTGAAGTGAATATTTTATAACCGGAAGGAGTGAAATTCCTCGATAGTTATTACAATCCGTCCTTGCACCCTTTTTGTGAATCGGAATAAGAATAGATTCTTTCCATTCTTTAGGTAATTTCTCGTTCACCCAGATCTTTTTAACCAACCGATGTATTTTAGAAACTCCAGCTTCCCCGCATGCCTTAATTAGTTCTGTAGGAATATTATCGGTTCCCGCTGCTTTATAAGATTTTAATTTTCCGATAGCTACTTCAACTTCCTCTTTACTTGGTCCTTCTATTAACGGTTCAGCACTCTGGTACTCAGGAGGACACAGATCATAATTTCCCGTATTTAAAATATTGTCAAAGTGGTCCTTAAACTTATTCAATATGTCAACCGGATCGGTCAGAATATAGTTATCATCCCTAATTCCAGACGTTATGGGTCCTACACATTTACGTGATCTGTTTATACCTTTGTACATGTCTCTTATGTTATTTTCGATTCTATTAGTTTCTATTTCAATTATTTTATTTTTAAGATACTCCCTTTTTTTATTTTTGAGCAATTTTGTCGTTTCGTTCTTCGAGGTTCGGAAGTATTCCATATTGTCTTCGCTAGGATTATTTAGAGCTTTTAATTTAGCGACTTTTCTTTTTTCGCACATTTTTAAGCAATCTTCATCAAACCATTAATTTTTCCAAATTAAAATTCTCAAAATCGAAACGGTTTTCTTTTCTCTTTTTTCTTTTAAGTTTTTGTCGAAGTTTCACGATTACTAATTCATGATCCGACCCACATTCTGCTCCCCGATAAGACCGTACATTAATTATACTGCTTTGCCAGCTGTGTTGTATCAAGACATGATCGATTTGATTTCGTGTTTGCGAATCCTGTGATGTCCAAGTATATTTATGAATATCCTTATGTTTAAACGTCGTACTTTTAATTATCAGGTTTTTCGAGATGGCAAAGTTTATCAGACGGATCCCATTATCATTACTATATTCGTGCAAACTTTCTTTACCAATCGTCGGAATATAAACTTCTTCCCTTCCTACATTTGCGTTCGCATCACCTACAATTATTTTCATGTAGTTTCGCGGTAGTTTATCATAAACCCATTCGAGTTTTATCGTAAAATTCACTTTTGACTTCATCGTCACTGTCTTCGGTCGGACAATGTATGTTTATTAATGCGATTTTAAACCAACGTCCCTGAAATATAGCTACCTAAATTCTATCACTAAAGAATTGTACGTCCCTCAAAGCGGATAGTAATCTACTCCTACTTAGAAACCCGGTACCTAAACAATGATTCCCGCTTCCTCCGTACCAAATAGTGTACTTTCCTTCCCTCATCGAGCCCTCCCCTGGCCAGCGAACCTCTTGCAGAGCCACGACATCCAAATTGTACCCATTTACCTCATTCGCGACCGATTTTAGTCCCCCTGCTGTATTTAAACTCCTTACGTTCCACGTACCAATATTTAAATCCCTATATTCCAACTTGCGCCATGAATCCCCTAAAGCAGTCCCCACCCGGAGACCCGAACGGGGGACTAGTTAACCTCCGGATAATGAGCGTTTTACCTTAGGGAGATTCATGACTATTTGTGGTGTTTGGTGAACTAAAGATATGTGAGTAGGGCGTTCAATCCTACGTCACACCCTCCAATAAGTCTGGTGGGCCCCTACCTCCAGCAAGTCTGGAGGGCCCCTCTCATTGTTGGTCAGCGAGTCCATCGGGCCGGGAGAAACTTCCAAGGAATTTCCACCGACTATCCCCACATCCTCCACCCGTGGGACGCTCCCCATACGTGGTAATGAGCCCGCGCGAGGCATGAATATTTATCACCCATTATATTTATTTTTATTTTTGCCCCAAAGTTCAGGCCTTCATCATGGTTGGTCAAACGAAAGACAACCCCTGTTGCAGACAGACAGACAGACACCGAACCTAATTTCATCATTGATGTCTGAAATGTTAAACGAGAGTGGAAATTCTTGATTCTGGGCCCAACATTTTTTTTAACATCTTGAAATACAATGCTTCTCTAACTTCGATAGTGACAAAGAAAAATGCCTAAAATGTAAATTATCAATTAATCCATCTCAATAGGATATGCCAAATACAGAATCCATACTGCACTGGTTGCACTCTTTTCATGGACAGAAAAATGGGCCCTCAAAATAAATTCCAATAAGAAGGCACTACACGATCTTCAGTCTGTCAATAAGTATACCCTTAATCCGAAATTGGGCTACTAAGGATGACCTCCCAGTCTATCTAGGAATAAAATTTGACAAAAAGACTCATTTGGAAGAGTCAAATAGACAGATTTGTTATTAAGGCCGTAAACTGAATAGAACTACTGAGGAAGCTGGCGAAGTCATATTGTGGGGCTGATCACATTACTCCCAAAGCACTATACGCTGGATACATAAGACCTGTGATAGAATATGGAATCACTATTTGGGGATTGCCAGCACTCTCAAAATAAAAAAAAAATAAAAACAGTTTTCCAGAAGCAAGAGCTTAGAATTTTAACTGGAGGTCTAAAGTCCACACCCATTAGGGCAATGGAAACGCTTACTGGCTTACAAAAAATGGAAGACAGGAGAGGCGTCAAACCCCTTAACTTAAGAATGAAAGCAGGCTGCATTCCAAACCAATTCCTTACAGGGAGAGTTGAAAAGAGAAATCACACTTGGATAAAGCGTGAAATTTCTCTACATAAAACAAATCAATTAATTGAAAAGAAACCTTAAAGTAATAATAAAGCAGAAGCCGTGAAGGTTGCTGAAAACTTCCCACCTTCGACATAATGGATCAGACCAAATATCACTACATAGCTCCCTGGCATTGCAAAGAAAAGTTACCTAGATACTCTGAAAGCCAAAGCCTGCACTCTAAAGCACATACACTCCCTATATCCTCAGAATAAATGGACAAGGGTATACCCAGATAGGCCTAAAAATGTCATTGCAAATGAAGGAGAAGACATCCATATTTATAAGTACCCCAGAGACTTTTTCTGTTTATTTATGTTATTTTAGTTTCATCTGTTTGTCTTACACACACATATATATATATATATATATATATATATATATATATATATATATATATATATATATATACATGCTTTTCTTTATTTTTTTCTCTCTCTTATTCTGTATTTTTACTTTTAATTAACTATTATTGTAATATTTAATTCATTTATGAACACACAGA